AGAGCGTGACCGAGGCGTCGGGATAATCACGAGGCTCTCGTAACGACGCGCAAATGAACTCGTCCCCCTTCTCGATCCGGAAATGAAACGACGAAGAATTAACTAGTCGCCGCGCAACGTGCTCTCATATCCGTGCCACAGTCCGTGTTTATTGGCTTCATCCCTTGTAGCCCGCCTGTACGAATATTGGAGTGGTGGTGCTCGCGACCTTTCGATTTTTTTTCCCTCTCTTTTTTCTTTTCGCTTGATTCGTCGCGAGAAAAGAAAAAGGTTACGTTTCGAAGGAATTTTAATTTAACGAATTTCTCGAAGAAAGGATATCTTAATACTTCGAATAATTTTCTTGAGAATTTCTCTAAATATTCTTGGAAGAATTAATACTCGCTCCAATTGGCGCGCGAAGCGTGCGCGGAACAAACGCTTTTTCCCCGCGTCGAGTGCACGCGTCGTCACGGACAAATAATTGGGATCGAGAGCGGAATGCACGCGAGGCGTTCGACGCGTGCTCCTCTCCCAGGGAAGGGAGGAAGACGGGCGACGATTGCACTCGTTGGCCCCAATAAATTTCTCTCGCGAGGCGCGATAAGGTTGCATGCAACGCGGGCCACCGCTGCGGAACACGTTGCGACATTCGATAGTCGTGGCCGTGGCTTTGTAAATTCGAGCCGCGCGAGTGCGGATTCGACGAGGCGGGAGAATCGCCTCGAGCGATACCTCGTAAGAGGGATCCTTTTGTCCGCGACAGCGATTTATGGGGCGCGAGCCGTTGTCGTACGTTCGAGAATTACGAGCTTGCTGCTCGCCCGGCAGATCACCACTATCCCCTTTAACGGACATTTACGCCCTCCTCTCCTTCCGCAACGCTGTTATTACCTTCGAGCGTGTATTCTCTCGGGCTTGAAATTAAAATTATTTGTTTACGCAGTATTATTCCGCGATTAATCGTCCTGGATTCGCGATTTATTCCATACATACAACTCCGTGCCATTTCGCAAAGGACGTTGTCGAGGACGAGAAATAAAAAGAAAATAAATAAAAAAAAAAAAAAAAAAGTTAAAAAACGAAGTTGACACGTAAGTTTTCACGCGTAAAGTTACGCGTAATTCAATCCGCATTGGAAAGGGAAAAGGTCCAAAGGAAAATCTCTCTCCGGTCCCGGTTTTAATTCTAGCAAGTTATTTCAGTGTCGTTAAACATTCCCGTGGCGGGAATTAATTCCGGAAGGAAGGACGCGAGAAGCTTGGTTCGTTCGTGCGTTGGCAAAAGTGAAGGTTGAAGTGGCGAGTCGCTATTATTTGCGATTCATGGCACGAGGCGGTAAATCAGAAGATTATTTAGCGCCTCGAAAGTGCTTCGCGAAGGTGTTCACGCGGTGACGGGAAGTTGAAACGGAACGTGCTCGTTATACGAGTGGCATCGTTTATTCCCTTGGCCGTTTCTTTTTATTCCTCTTCTCGTCGTGCTTTGCACCGATCCGCGCCTTTCGGCGCGTGGCTTCCTTCCCTCATACGTATCTTTATGCTCACGCGTGAAACTGACTTTACTGATTTTTCTCCCCCCGCACGTGAGTTCGATTCGAATTCGATTCGCGTTGTCGTCGAGGACGGTACGTGTCTCTCTTTAAAGAGGCGCGAAAACGTCCTCTGGCTCTGAGGATTTATCGCCATTCGACTCTCTTATTAACAACGTTTTAAATTCCTCCTTTCAAGGATTGTTAAACCCTTCGCTCGTGTCACGTTATTCTCGCATGGAAACGCTTCGCTGTTCGTTCGATATTTGTTTCATTTGTCGCATTCTCGTCGAAACCTGGTCTCGAACCTTAATGTAATTGTTCAAACACGAATTGGACGATTTAAAGGAACGGCCGACTCGTATACGGCGTTGTTAACCGTCCCTCTCGTGTCATTCATATCGCTGCGATGAATCTATCCGTGCAAAGAGACGTTAATTCTTTACTCTCGAAGAACTGGATTCGCTTTTTCCAACTCTTATTCGTTGAGATACGACGTTGACAACGCGCGGCCACCCCTTTCGAGAGAAATAATTCCCACTGTCCGTCTCTGCCTGGCCGCTTCTTTTCAGGGACGACGACCATTGGCGCGAGTTCACCCACGACGAGCCGAGTAACGGCGAGCGATACCTCTCCTCGGCCCATCCATTGAAATTACTGCCGCGCCTTCATTGGAATTACGAGCTCTCAGTCTTCATTATCGTACCACGACGATCCACGATAGTGACGTTTTAATAGCTTGTATCTGTGGAGGGAGAACGATTTCTCAAGAAGGAGGAGGGTACGGAGAAAGAGAGCTCTCGATAAAACGATTTTCCTTCCAATGTTAGCCTCTGCGTTTCCACCTTCGACGTCCATTCTCTCTCTCTCTTCCTCTCTCGTCTGTCGATATCGCGATCCGTAAATCAGGAAACGAACTTGATGGTTTCACGATACGCCGAGAGAACCGGTGTAAATTTTTAACTATCGCCGTATCCTGGAGAAATTTCTCATGGTGGTAGTATTTAACCGGCGTATTATCGAATATTGAGTCGTCGCGGCTCGGTTTACGCTGGAATCCAATTTACAACGGTAACCTAACCTAATCTAGCCTAATCTTGCCGCATCCACGCCATTATCCCCGAACAACTCGCGAAGCACGACGGTATAGACACTTGAACAAACTTGGAACAAATTGCAGCGAACTCTGTGTATTTGCCGGGGAGGAAGTACGCAACGTCGAAAGATCGTTGTAATGCTGCGTTCAGTTGACTGGGAGATTGATGTTCGTGAGATTTGTTGTAGACACGGAACAATTCTCTAAAACTCTAAACGCAGAATAATATTAACACGTATCTGTCCACGATTGAAAAAAAATTTCTGACAACTTTTAAATTTGTTATTGAGCGTATCGAACGAATATGTATCAAGATTCTTCGCGCAATAGATAATTTATTAAAATCCTAAATTCTCGCGTGAGTGGAAACCTCTTACCAGATTTGACGGATTCTCAACTCGATAAGAAGAGCAATTGGCGCGATCACTTTTAGGGGAAGAGTAGGAGAGAGATTGAAGAAATTGGTCAAAGGGGTTCGTTGCGTCGTTTGTGCACGCGTCGTGTGTGTGCTCCTCTGCCGCAGGCGCCAGCCGGTCGCGCGAAACGCAGGAAATGGCAGTCGCGACGAATTGCATTATTAATCAGCGTTGAAAAGGCTGGCCGGCCACCGTTGCAAATTCTTTTTCACGGACTATCTCTCGCGGACTGTATAATATTCCTCCAAGCTCTCTCTCTCTATCGCCAATTTCCGGCCGATCGATTTATCCCACGACCAAATGATCGATCTTCTTCACGGTTCACGACACAGCCGACTTGTGCGCGATTCACTTGGCGGACGCTTCCGGATAATGGCGGAGGAGAATGCGCCAAGGGTGGAAATGTCGGGCTTCGATGCCAACGCCTTCCCCTCCTCCATCAAATTCACGCGCACCTGAACCGAAACAATTGCGATTCGATTCGAAAGATCGACTCGAGATGTAAAAATTCTATCAGTGAAAAAAGAAAAGAAGGACAAATTATCGCACTTTCTTTCGCAATTAATGGCAGTCGAGTGAATGGTCCTCCCGATTATGATTTATATTACACGAAACGAAAATTAATTAATATTTAATACAGCAGGTTGAATCTCATGGCGGGTTATTTACTCGCGCAAGTGTAGCGCAAAATCGCATAATTAATTTCTGGCGTTGAAATTCTTCACGCTTATACATATGTATATATATATATATACGTATATATTACATGCTACGCCGATGGCATCGTTTCACGAGCAATCGAGATCAATGGAATCGTGCCCCGTATCCATTGTACCCCGATCAATTGACCGGGCTCCCGATCCCGGTTTACGTACAACAAGGCCGTAGACGAAATATCGAACGCTTCGCCGGCCAATTTCCGCCCGTGATATACACGCGAGAGCGAGTTAGAAACCCGAAATCGATTGCCGAGCGAAATGACCCGCGAAGTGTAAGCCGTCTGATCGAATTACCTTATTATATTCTACCAGCCGTGAAACCGGCCATCCACCTTTCGGTTAAAGGTATCCCCAGGTGCTTCCAGATAAACCTGTTTTGAACGTGTTGAGAGAACTGCTGCGTCTGCTGTCTTTCATGGAACGTAGCGCGGAATGCTCGAATTCTCGAGGAATAATTCTCAACGATTATCGACAAAATTGACAAATGGAGTGGAATGGAAGCGGAGAAAGTAGGGAGTGAAAATTTGTTGGAATATATATACGTATACACGGTTAATTTCACATGGTGGAAAAATAATTGGGACGGAGAGCTCGCCGGTCTGTTTGCCGGAAAGTTGAATTTCTTCGCTCAAAGTGTTTATTAGAGATTGCGGGAGGGAGGGAGGGAGGAGAAAGGGGGCGGTGGGGGAGGGTTAATGAAGACAGAGTTAATAAGCTTGTTAGCAACGTGGGCGAAAGACGCGGGTATCGCGATAGTTGGCCTTACATGCAGAGTCAATGGATGTGTGTCCGCATAAAGGGGAGCCTATTCTCTGCGCCCTCTCCTCCTTCTCCTCCTTGCCCCTACTTGGTGGGCAACTTTGATGAATAGTTAGCGGCGAGTGGCCGAAGCGGGCACGCCATTCCGGCGATATTTAGAGAGACACGCGACCTAACGCGATGAAAAGGAAATGCAAATGTCAGCGGAGAAGTTGTAACGGCCAGTCTCTGAGGACATTTTCGAATGGCCACGTTATAAGTGGGACACCCTGTCTCTTTATCTCGACACTTTTTTATTTTTCGCGACGGATATTTTTAGAGGCTGATTTTTCTATATTTATCATCTATAAATTTTATTTCTATTTTTTTTTTTTTTTCATCATCACCGCGAATACGAATATGAATGTATATAAATATGAGAGATTCCAATTTATTCAAATTATTGTATTGCAAAATTGAAGATTAAAGGGAATATGAATATTGGAATATTTGTGTTACAGCTGGAGCCGCTTCTGAGGAAACTAACCAAAGGTCCAGTTCTGCACACAATCGCCACTCTCTCACGAAGGGTAAGCAATCGAGCGACAGATCACCACGCAACGTAGAGAAAGAATCGACGTGCAAAAACGTATTCGGTCGATCGTTTCGAACACATCCCCGCCGATGCTATGTCGCTTTTTATCGTTCTCGTTTGCACCACAAGTCACACGGATATCGCGACAATTATGCGCACTTCATGCATGCTCGTATATACATATATACGTATATATATATATATATATTTACACGTGTGAATCGCGAAAAAAGTTCCCCTCGTATCGCATGTCGGCGGGAAAGTATCATTTCGTTTCCCTTTTGTCGCGGAAACTTTTGGCAAATGTTTCCGTTGTGAACGTTACCGCCGCACAACAGCCACGAATAATCCTTTCTCGTTGATCAGTAGCTGTAAATTCGTGAACAAAAGGAACCGTTCGTTTTCGAATATAAAGGAAACCGGTATAAAGCTTACCGTTGTTATTCCGTATTAAAACGAGTGAAACAACGGATAGAGATATTCGGTTCACCGATCGTTACGCAATAACTATCCTCTCCTGGATTATCGAGGCATCGAAGAGTCGTGGCATTTTTTTCAAGGTTATTCCGCTATCTACGAGATACTCGAATCGAAGCGTGTAATTCCAACGGAATTCGAGAGAAATAGAAAAAAAAAAAAAAAAAAAANAAAAAAAAAAAAAAAAGAAAGGAAAAAATTCCGTAAGCGGTGTGTTACGAACCACCGTGAAGTCGAGTAAGAGAGGGGGGAAAAAAAAAAAAAATCGACGTGTATCGATCCCGAATATGGATCCATCCGCAACTGGTCCACGGCAGATAACAATATCTGTGCACAATGCGCAAAACGGGCAAATGGATTTAATAACGTTTTAATCCTATCGATTGATCCGTACCGCAAATCCTAGTTTGCGCTTGAAAAGCCAGAAATTTAATCAACTGTGGCGTGGAACGTCCATGAAATTGATAATAACGGGGGCATTTGTCTGGAAGAATAACGAAAAATCGGTGAGGCCTGAAAAATTCTCTAGATAGATTGTGCAACCTTGAGAAGAGAGAGACGATATCCTTTCCAATTGTTTGCTAAAAAATTTTCACAAATTCTTCACGCATTGTATCGACAATTCTAAGATGCGAACATCGACGATTCTCTGCGCGTTAAATTCTATCGCCCGACGAAAGAATTTATTATACCATTAACAAATATTAACGCGACACGGCTGACATAACGTTATCGCGAAAAATATAAATTTAACTTACATTTAAGCTTCGCAAAATTTCCATCGAAATAAGATAGATTAAAGGGGGGGGGACGGAATTAGAGGGTTCGTTTCTTGATAATGTAATTAGAGGGAGAGGAATATCGAATCGCGGTTAAGCGGGAGGACAATTTATTAACGAAGCTCAGAGAGGCCAGAGAGAACGGAAGCAAAGTCGCGTGGAGCTCGCTTGCACGCGCGAGCAGCCTCGTTCGCTCGTTAAATATTAGTAGAACACTCCGATGGTGCTAGGATGAGAAAACCAGGACAATTTCGATCGTCACTCCCGACGTGCCTCCATTAAAATGGAATACGAGCCACTCGACGGGCTTGCGTTTAAACGTGTCTATCACGCGTGTTTCAACGTTCTAGATGAAAGGCCAGATTCGACGAATTCGCCAATTGCTCCCCGTTTTTGTAAATAGAATCTTTTTTATTTTTTTTATTTTACGATAATATTTTACGTAACGATTGCGCGAACGATCCAAGAAGATAAATAACGATGAACGGGCGGGATGGTAATAAATTTTTAATCGTTGGCGGTGTGACGATGGCACGCGGTGAAAAAGCGGACGGCTTCTCGCCATTGTGCATTATTCGAGAAGTAGCGCGAACGTTGTACCGATGAGACGTAAGAAAGAAGTAGCTGAAGGAGGTACAGGATGAAAAAGAAGAAAAAAGAAGAAAAAGAAGAAGGGTGGTTGAAGTGGTGGAGAGGTAATCGACTCGAGAAGTGCCGCGAGGACAGAAAAATAGTAAAGAACGATGCGCCAAGGTGGACGGGCGCAGAACAGATTCCTATTGTTTCCCGACCCACTTCCTAACGCTGGAAAATTAACAGAGTTCCTTGGTTGTATCCGGTGACAGATTTTTCCCAACGTACAACCTTCCGAGATGCTTTCTTCCGCGACCTTGCAAGCGCGGAAATAGGAACGCGTTGACCTAAAGAGCCACGGTTTCGAGCCAACGTTTCGCGGATCGAATTATCGTATTTTCGTAACGAATAATCAAAGATACGTTCGCTAGAAAGTTTCACGATTAACCCGAATATATAGGCAATAAACAAATAAGGGATTTTCGACGATCTTTCGAGTTGCGAGATGCTAAAATTTTCTCTTTTGCAAATTTTCGATCGAAAGTTGGCGAAAATTTGATGATTGGAAGCAATTTTGAAAATATTCCAGTCGAAATGGTACGGCACCGAAGGAGCGAGACTGGAAAAAAAAGGCTATTGTCCATACATTATTCCGAAGATTCGAGATAATACCCGCTACGTTGTTTCACGCAAAGTTGCGTCGCATTGTAGTGTAGCGAGGCGCATTTCTATTGGCAACAACAATAGGCCGGTATACGGATGTTCAATTGGCAATGCGGTCTTTGTCGTTTCTTTTCCGTGGAGAAAGAACACGTGTCTCTCCCTTGGTTGAAGAAACACGCGTATCCTTTTATTTGCACTTCTTGAAATTACTTCTCTAGCCGCGCCGTTAAATATCGTTGAAGAGCCGTGAAGAAAACTAAAACTAGCAAATTGTATAGCTTATTTAAAGAGACTGAATTTTTTTTTCTCTCTCTCTCTCTCTCTCTCTTCTCTTCTCGCATCGATTATACCTGGGATTATTCCACTCTCGACCTACTTTGCGCTTCTCCTACTTTCGTAAACGTTCATTGTTCAACGTTTGTGAATCGATAAAAGGGATTTTAACTCCTCGTGAAAACGATCGAAGAATCGGAGAAAAAAATCGACGACGACTCGACATTTCGTTTCTCCAATTCTCGAAAATCAATCTCGAAATCAACACGATCGGTGGCCTGTTTCCCGAGGACAAAGGCCCACCAGGCTCGATCGAGTAATAAGTTTGTAATAGTAGATTGCGGATTGGTATCCATTGAACGATTGAAGGGATCCGGCGAAGCTCTAAATCTGCAGCGAAACGTTCCCGTGGAGATAAGGGAAACGATTCAGAAACCGGGTAGGAAACTATCCCTCTCGGTCTACAATTGGGTTTCTTCTTCGCAGCGAAATTTCAATTCCATCCGCGAGAGCGGATGAAAAGGCTTGGATTTCCATTGTTTTCCGACTCACTTCCAGGCGACGGAAGATTAACAGAGCCGACGTGTGTATATCCCACCGCCGAGGGCCTCTCCACGTTTTTCGACCGTTTTCGCGGGAAGTGGGACTCATTGTGGCTCGAGACTGCTGTAATTTAAAATCATCGTTCAAAGTTTTTTCCCTCGGAATTTTTCCACCCGCCATCTTTTTTTTCCCCTCTCTTTCTTTCCTCGAGTAAATCATGTTGAAGAGGGCTCTCGTTTATTCTCGTTTATTCGCGTCTATATATACGTCTATATATATATATATAGACCGACGAGGAGAGTTTCTCGAATTTCCGTATGGCAAGTTTTTGACGCGAACGGTTGATTGATTCGCAATCGAGACTGTTCTCTATATACTTTTCACTTGGCGAAAAGCGAAGCGTTGGTATTAATTAATACGTGTCACATTTGGAGCGCACATCCTTTCATATATATATATATATATATATATATATATTTTTCTTATTTTCATTAACGCGCGTTTCATCGACGACAGAACCTCTCCGCGTATCCGACACAACTTTATATCCGTAACGTTATCAGGAACGTCGAAACGCTTTCACCCTGTTTCCCTTTCTAGCTTCTCGCGCGCGTTTCCTCCCGCACTTCCACCACCCTTTTCCTGTCCCTCTCTCGATTCCTGCTCCTCCTCTTCCTCCCTCTTTCCCTCTCTCTCTCTCTCTCTCTTTCTCGCTCGATTCCGCATCCGCATTGCTAATGAAACGTCCAATTACCATCAACGGTTGCCACGAGGTGGTCCATCAGGCAAGACTCCTCCCTCTCTCTCTCTCGCTCTCACACTTTTTCCTTCTGACATTTGCAATCAGCAGCCGGAAACAACATCGGCAGGTAGCACCGACTTTCCTCTTCTGCCTCTCGTTCGATGAAAATAAACCGAATCTACCTCTCGCTGTCGCTCTTTTTTTCTTCTCTCTCTTTCTTCCGTTTTCATTCATCCCTTCTTTCTTCTCTTTTTTTAAGCGATACGAGGTCGCGAGTAAGTAAGCCACGCGCGAACTGCAATTAATCAGGGTACGAAAAGGTGTTCATCAATAATCGGATGTAATTCCATTTTACGCGGAAACGGAATCGATCCCTCGCCTATATCCCCCATTCGATCGATCGTTCGTTCTCTCCGATATATGGAATCGGCCATTAATATCTCGCAACAACGAGGGGAAAGAATGGATGTTTGCCGGGCGATAAACAGCAGCTCGGCCTCGGTAATACGATTGTTCGAAACGGGGAGAGGAGGGATGGATGGAATTCAGAGAGGATTCGAACGACTTATGCGATGGAATAATTGACCACGCGATAACGCGAGCTCCTCCATTTCCATTTCTTGCACAGCTCCGTGCGTTGTTATCGAGTCGTGATCGCTTCAACCAAAGAAAATCCCCTTTCGCAATTACGCGCGTCTCGCGTCCTTACGTCCATTCACGGTTTTCCAATTATCAATTATAACCGACGCGGAGGCGAGACGGTTGTTGCCTCGCTTTTTCTGCCCTCGCATTCGCAATCGACAAGCGGAAGAATCCGCGTCGGGTGAAACGTACGCTTTCGTCTCCTCTTCCCTCCCTTTCTCTCGCACTCGAACGCAGACAAATCGAATGGTGGACAAAAATAAGCGAGATGGCATCGCAATTAACGAGAGAGAGAGAGAGAGAGAGAGAGAGCGGATCTTTGATTCCCCCCGTATCATTAGAGGAATTTAAAACGAGTCGTTCGGAAAAATCGACACGCGTGCTTCCGACATGGAAATTCCTGATCCTATCTCCGTTATTTTCCCTTTTGCCGTTATTTTCTTCACGTTAAAAAAACTTGCGGAAATATAATATGAGACTTTACGCTCTCTTAAATCGTGAATTTCAAATGTACGAATGTACGAATGTTGTTGTTCTTGTTTCTTGTTTCTCCATTCTTCTCCCTTTATTTCGAAATATTTTTTTCCCCTCCCTTACGATTGAATTGAACCGGAATTTTCGATAAATTTAGAAGGTAAATCGAGTCGGGACGTTTCTAAATATTTGTCACTGTTTCGGAGAAGCGCGTTCCGTGATAAATTTAATAATAAATGGACGGCAATCGAGGACGTGCGGGGTGTCTATCGCAAACACGATGATTCGCCGACACGGGTGGTTCTGTTTGAACGGAGAAAAATCCATAAGAAAGAAGTTGGAATTTATGTTCCGCAGAGCAAACGATGCACTGGTTCGCCCAAATCGGAGGTGACGAGGCCTCTCCCGATTCGTCAGGTAATAATCAGATTGGTAAATAACGGGCAGTGTGCTTTCACAAACTCGTCGCACATATGTTTGACCAGAATTTAACGCGTCTCGTAACGAGTGCGTATTAATCCCTCGTTGAAATTGGATATGACCGCATTCGTCGGTTGCTCGCGTTCCCAGCCACGCGTGTGCCACAAGTTTCTTTGCGCTCGTGTGGTGTGTTTCTTTAACAATTATCGTGAATAGACTGTGGAATTTTATGTCGATACATATTTTTCACATTCACGTGTGCTTAATTTAAAAAATCGTAAATAAGATATCCAATTAGAAACGTCCGTAAAATTACGAAACTCGTTCGATTAAACAAGAAGATTCACTTTCTAAATCAATTCAGATCGTTGTAAGATAATATTCTTTTAAAAATGAACGTAATTTATTGCGTAATTTACTTTAAAATTTCGACTGAATTCTAATAAAATTAGGAATTTGAATCGTTATAATTCTGAAGATAGTGATTTTCGGTCAATGGGAGAGGGATAATTAGAAATTTCGTTCTTTAAAATGCATTTTCATTTATCCCATTATTTATCATTTATTTTATACCTGATTAAATCTTATTAAAATTTGGGAAAAAATTTTTGAACCGTCATAAAATTCGAAAATAATGACTTCCGTTCAACGAATGAACGATTGTTAGAGGCGCGGAATCTTTTAAAAGGTTTTTCACGCTTTTTCATTTATTCTAATACGAATTTCGATTGCCGAGATATAATAAAGAAAATGTGTGTATTTTTTCGTCGTTTCTTATCTTTTCTCTTATCGCTTATCAAACTTCTCGCTCGCATCTCATTCACCTATCTTCAGATAAACTACAGATTATATAAATTATATTCTTAGAAGAAGTTATTTTCAGGAAGAAATATAGAGTCATCCATTCATAATCACTATCTTAAACGATACGGACTTATCCTTATATCCCGGCGATTGAGATATCGAAATGAATCAAAAAGTCACTTCGATACGGCATTAAAAATTGAAGTTTCATTTATCATTTTGCGTGAATGCAATGATCTGTTGCTGTGATATAAAGTATATAGGGATGTAACATGTTTTCTTTGTATTAATTCAATATTTTGAATACGTTTTAGTTACATAAAAATCCGCAGTCTATATGACGAGATACTAACAGAGAAATTGCGAGTCAAACTTGCACGACCAATCCAGAAGCACGTGTAAAACATCAAAAAGGTTTGCATTGAATATTTTAAAACGTATTTTAAAAAAAGAAGAAGAAGAAGAAGAAGAAGAAGGATTTAACTTTGTTTTTTTATAGAAATTAAAAAAAAAAAAAAAAGAACGGTCTTGCGACACCGGCCACGAATACATAACGACAAATCGAACGTTGCCATCCGTACGAGCGGAACACACGCCTTTTACAGCGTCCTATTTTTAATAATCGCATTAACCGAGCAAAAAAAGAAAAAAAAGAAAAAGAAGTCATCGCGAGGAGGATATCGCGAGGAATGGGTGATTCTTTTTCCCGCAAAACTAAAAACTGGAATATCGTATAGGAGAAGGGAGAATCTGGCGAATCGAATTTGTTTGTTTGATAAAACAGCTGTAGAGGGGGGAATATTTCGCGGAAATTGATTATCTTCGCCGCGATAATCGAATCTTGGCGATGGAAATATTCCCATAGAAAGGTCACGGTTTCTGACCTTTCCCTCCTCGTAATCGTATTTCGTTAATTTCATTCGGTCCGCGTCGGAAGTTGGTCGTAACACGGGGGTGGGAGGGGTTGGTGGCGCGCGTTTCGCCGGAAACCGAAAGGAATTTCGCTTATTTATCCATAGTCGTGGACGACCCCGATTTTAGACGCTGTGTGCAACGACGTTCGTTTATATGAGTATGCATGACGCATGATGTGTGAAACGTGTCTTTGAAAACCGGTGTCCATTAAAAACCGCTTTGAGAAAACCTGCACTTATGTACTGCATATGGTGTGTACGCAGCTGCATGCCTGCAGTGTGTCGCGATTGTGCTCGTAATTACCCCCCCGAATCTCACGTGCGTACGCACATATTCTCGCTTTCTTCTCGACAGATGTGAAGCGCCGGCAGAGTCTCTACGACGAGGACTCCCTCGATGGCGATCATCCTAGCGAGAACGAAGGTATCACGTTTTCAAAGGGCAGTGTCGAGGCTGATTTTCGTTTGTTCACACTTTTCATATCGGAATTTTCAGTATTCTTGAAAAAATATTTTCACGTTTAAAACAAGTTAAACGGTAATAACGGTAAAAATCAATGTTATACTCTTCGATATATGTCGTAAATTACGAGAGAGATTCGTTCGACGAAGACGATTTTTGTCAATTCGCGAAACGAGTCAAAGTTTTAAAAAAAACGAAGTAAATTTTTATTACATTCGAGAAAACTGTCTGGATTGTTAAACACGTTGGTGTGTTTTAAGCGGAACAAACGCGAAGCTCGCTCGGCGAGGAGAAATAATCGATCCTCGCGGTTGTTCTCAGGACGGGAGTCGACGGGAAACGCGAAAGACGTGGACAGGGCGAAGCTCGTCCGTGAGAGACAGAACGAAGAACGGCAGCGGAAGTTGGAAGAGCTGAGACAGCAGGCGTTCGCCGCGCAACGTTTCCGGGAGCAACGGGAAGAGGAACGTCGAAGACGCATCGACGAGCTCAGATCGCGTGACAATGACAGGTTTGTACTTTTATTTTTTCCTTTCTTTTTTCTTTCTTTTTTCTTTCTTTTTCCTCCCCTCTCCCCTTCGCGAGTTATTATTCACTGCTATGCGATATAATCGAATAGCACGCGTTCAACGATACGTGAAAATTCGTGAAAACGAAGTAAAAGTACGGGTAGAGGGAACTCTCACGTTCGAGAAAAAGACGAGAGAGATTAATTAGGTTGAAAGAAAGAGAGAAAAAGTTGTTGAATTCCGTTTGAAATTGGGTTATTTAATAGGAGAGAGAACGATAACTTCACCTTGAGGCCAGTTTTTTTCTCTCTCTCTCTCTCTCTCTCTCTTCAATCTATGACACGCGAATTTAAAACGACACCGGGAACCGTATTAATGTGTTTAAACGCTCTTTACGAGATTACGTGCTCTTTACGAGGTTATAAGTTGACCTGGTTAATACGATGCCGGGCTAAACTGTTTCGCCACCGCAGAGAAGCCTGGGAAATTACCGCGACACCTGCATAAAGTTCACCCGCGGCAAAATCGCTTTCCTCCCCGTCTAAAAAAAGAATCGCACGGCCTATTACGTAGACGAGAACGCGTATATATATATATATATATACTCTTGTTCCGCGCTCGTGTACGTGTGTTCCTTGAGAAACGGGAAGAGGTGGTTTTAAATCCTCTTTTAAAAATTCACTCTCCCATCCATCTATTCGCAGACGAAACCAAGTGGAGGAGAGGAAACGGTTGATATGCGAGGCGGAAAGAGAACGAAGGGAGGCGATCCTCCGGAAGAACCAAGAGAGGGAGGCCCGTATCGAGGCGAAGAAGAAGAACGAGAGGTCGCACATCGTGTTCGCTTTTGGAAGCTCGACACCGAGGATGTTGGAGCCGGCCGACACCGGCGGTTCCACTTTCTGGGGTACCCGTCGAGCAACGTCCACCACCAATGTCATGATGTTCTCCGCCGCTCAACCGTTGACCAGGAGGTCTTCCGAAAGGGAGCTCGATGGCAGCAAGAAACGAGCCACGTCCGCTGGTGGACTCGATCGGAAACCTGGCGAAGGTTAGTGCAAATTTTATTTCATCGACTTGGAGAATGTTTCTATATCCCATAGATAGATAATTCAAAATACATGTTTCGATATTTGTGAATATATATATATATAATTTATTCGATACGACGGACGAGTATTATTCGTTATATTCGTTAGGGAAAAGAACTGTTCCTTTTCATATGTAACGTCGGTGTCGATATTATATCGATCGAAGCATGTAATATACATGTAGAAATTGTTTGACGTCTGTCGTTAACGTCGGTTATAAATGGTGACGAAAGTATACGTACGCGTATAATCGCGAGAAGATTCGTGTAAAGAATATCGTTAGCGAATATCGTGTCGTTGGTGTAACAATACTCCTTTCCCACGTTGGCACCAAGAAAACCGTGGAAATGGTTGAGACGTACAGCGAAGGCCGCTTCTTTTCTCACTGCGTTCTGTCTACACAGCGCTTCTAGTGCTCTATAGTTGCGTAATCGATGCGCCGCAGCGTGTAACGCATGGATGCACTACGTTCCAGAAAGATTACGCAAAAAACGAACGAAGATATAATTTATATTTGCCGTGCGTTGCTTGCCGCTACTTTTCTTTCGGTTTTTTTTTTTTTTTTTTTTTTTTTTTTTTNTTTTTTTTTTTTTTTTTTTTTTTTTTTTTCATTTTCAAATCGATCAATTCGCGAAGAAAACGTTGGAAAGTTCTTTTTTAAAATCGAAATTTTAGTCTCGCGATAAATCAAACGAAAATAAATTATATAAATTTTGTTTAACATGTATTTGATTAGCGAACACTACACATCAACCACCAACACACGTAATCAAATTGTACACGATATTTCCACGTTTACGATGAAAAGGAATTATTGCGTTACGAAGCATGAGAAATCGTGTCTATTGCTCGAAAAAATGATTTCGTTATCGTACTCGTAATGTGTCTTACATTTCCTGTGTCTTTTTTCAGATTTTTCATGTGATATTTTTTTTTTTTTGTCTTATATATTTTTTGCAGCCAAATCCACCGATTTTAATTTTGCCGCGCATTTTATCGAATGCAATTCAGTTATTCAATTATTATTAACGATGCGATCTCAACCAAATTTTCTTTTCTTTTTTTTTCTTTTTTTTGCTACAATGTCATATTCTTTTGCCAATATAATTTCTTCTCATATACATACACGAGAAGCACCTCATCTTCGCTCGTTGACTTCTCTGTAATACCGTATATTTTATTACAAGATGAGAGAGAGAGAGAGAGAGAGAGATAGAGCGTTTGTAGCGAGAATATATGCCTGAGTAAATATAATTTCGCTAGAGTTGTAACATTGAGAGAGAAAAATATAGATTTTTTTCCCTTCGTTCGGTAATTAAAAAAGACCTTTATATAATGCATCCGCTATATTTATTTCTGTACTTACTGGTGGTGGCTCTGTCAGGCAAATTGTAACGTAATTTTTGAACATTCTGTGAACCGCACTATATCTAACTCTCGTGCTAATTCTCCCCCCTCCCCCTTTTTTATTTATTTCAAAACAAACCCCACCCTTGCCCACCCTTGATTAGAGAGAATTAAGAAAAAGAGAGCAAAAAAAAAAAAAAACGAAAAAAGAAGAAAAAAAAGAGAGATTCGATTGGAAAGTAACCTAATGTTGCAGCGTTGAATGGTTTGTTTGCAGATATGAGAATGTCCTCGTCCATGTACGAGGTGTTCAATTGGAATTCTAGCCCTGATCCTCCCTTAACCCCTGCCAAACATAAGAGAGCCAGCCTCTCTCTGCCTCCTACAACTGACATCTTTGCCATCGATGATAAGTCTGATAGCGACACTAGGCGTCCGATGATTCAGCGGGCTGCCAGTGGTGAGTCCTGAAGTCGAACAAACAACAAAAAAAAAAAAAAAAAAAAAAAGTCTGCAACGGGGAAATTGTTCTGTTGTCCCAGAATGAGCTATCGATATATCCTTGTCTCTCGTTTATTATAGCACATCGGAATATATATATCTCTTGCAAGCATGTCACTTTCATTTAACGCCATAAAAATACGTATCCGTACATTCTTGGTAAAGTCGTGGAACACCGATGAACGACGTAATTTTGTCAGATGTCGTGTCGATCCCTGTATCTTTGTATCGCGCGGAATAGATTTTTTTTTTTGAAATTTTATTCAACGAAGGATATATATATCGGTGTTGGACGACGCGTACCACGTTAGTTAGTCATAATGCATCCTAACGCTATTAAAAATTTTATACTAACAATACTAACATTTACATACATTACGATGGATTTGTTTACTAATCACGTTATAGAGTAATATTGTAATACATTAGAAGAGCTAATTATCGAATCTAACCATCGTTCCTCTTGTTAATACAATTATTTTATTCGGATTCAGTTTTATTCATTACGTTTCTTTATTACGGAAATGGAAGTAAATATCGAGAAGCTGAGGTGCATCAATTGTGTCGAATACGAACTTTTTACGACACAGACTATCGTTCGATTATATTTTCCTCGCATTTGTTTTCTCTTTATAAAGGCGCCATGCATACATCCATATCGTTCATATAAACCGATTACTACATCACTACATACCGTATTCCGAATTAAATTTCAATTCGATACTTTGTATCTCGGATAAATTATATTTCATTTCTTTACAAACGATTTCGATTACACGAATAAACACGCTTTTATTAAACGATATCAACGAAGATAGATTCGAATTCATGATATTCTTCTTCTAGATTTCGCTTACTTATTTTCGCAAACGGCTTCTTTCATCATTTCTCATTCGATTCGCAACATCGCAACACAACAACAACACAACGCCTTTGAATCGAACAACACGAGACATTTTCTTTGTATCGTTATTGCATGTGTGGGGTTTTTTCCTTTTTTATCGCTTTAACGTATTTTTTACCGGATGTATCATTTGCATGTACCGTTTATTACACCGCTTCCGTAACGTCGTTCGTACACGTTCCCAGTTTCACATTGTTTTCCCCCGATCACACGTAATGTCATCCTCTTCTACCACAACGCGCTATTGTCAATTTGTCCTCGTCTCGAGGGTTGCTCGAGATTCCGTTTCTGGTAGCGTTGTCGAATGACGTCCAAAGCTGTATATTTCGTAGCACAACGATTCTTTCTATCTTCGCTTCGCACCTACACACACAAAAAAAAACGCACAGATACGGAGAGAACAAGCATGAAGAGCAGCGATTATGAATTTTGAAAATTTGAGTAGGCAAAAGAGAAAAAAAAGGGAATGTACACGGACGCACACCGACACGTACACACGCACACAGAAAAAAAAAACACTGGATCCACGCGAAATGGAACGACATTTTATGTTGCGATGTTGAGAGGATGTGTACGCGCACCTTGTTACACACCTTGTTAATAACGCGCAGTTTCCGGCGACGCTTGTGGCCGCTTCGCTTCTAAGGGAAACTCGATTGCAGGTGAAGAAAGCGACGGAACGCCGGGAACCCCTAGCTCGGTTTATCTGCGGGTGAACAGGAGGCGCACCGATCTGATGCCGACGATACCGTCGCCACGTGACGGACCGCCAACATCCGGGCGTAGCTCGAGCGCAAAGGCCTTCACACGTTCGCCAGGTAGGACTTACTCCATGTCCAGGCTGGACCAACTGGCGCAGCCTAGGAAACGTCCGACAGAACTTAGCACATTGACGGAACAGCAAAGCCAGCCTCTGAGCGCTTCTAGCATGAGTCGCAGCATGTCACATTTAGCTGCGTCCGGGGGCAAGAGCCTGAAACGCTCAGATAACTCTCGTAGCATGGGTACATTGCCAGGCGCGGTTCCGATGCCGAGACCAACGAGGGCCGAGAGACTCCGTCGCAAAGCCCGCGAGCATCAGAACCAACAGCAACAAGGTAAGATCGTTCTTGTGCACTCAACTCGATGATTCTCTCTCTCTCTACCTTTTAACGAGATCCTTTTATCGACGTTATATCGGTATGATCATTCATCATCATCATCATCATCATCATCATCATCATCGAGATCGACCAACTGAATCATTGATCTCCGACGACGATGTTTCTTGCGTTCGATACTGTTGCGGTTACGACAAGTATCATTGGACGGTGACGATTCGCTTTATTTAACGCTAACTTCGACTCTCTCCCTCCCATCCCCGATTTCACGATCCGATATTTCGACAGATTTATTTGGAATCTGAAATGGGATCTAATCGGATTAGAATCGGACTGTGCTCGGTCGGCATCAGTTTGTTGTCGTTCCGTATAATTTGAGTTGGGTGCACATGTGCATGCGTACGAATGCAGTGAGGAGCCATTGTGAATCAATAAGACGGAAAATTCTTGGTACACTTCGGATATTTTTCGTTCGATTCCGCGAGAAAACGGATGGAAGATCTCACGCTTAAGTGCTGGACTAACCAAAACGTTCTTCAAAGCGTCTCACGCTTCAGATATATTTTTCTATAACCAACGTGTTTGTGTTCTATTTTTTTTTTTTTCTACTTTTTTTTTTAACAACGATATACGCACAAATGCATGAAATTCTTTTTTTTTTTTTGTGTGCGTGTTAATTTATTTTACGAAATTTTACTTATAAATTGATTAACAAAACGCTCTCCTGCTAAGAAAACAAACTGAGATCTCAACGGCTTTTCGGTACCCAGGGGTGAAGGTACGCTCTAACGTTCTCTGGTAAGCCACACAAAATTTTTTTTCATATGTATATATATCTATTTATATATATATTACCACGTATACACACGTTTTTTTACGCACAATAATAGACTGTATACAGACGAACCGCAATCGTATTTAGTGTGCAATACATTTATCGCTCCACTTTCGTTCTTCGATTCTTTTCTTTCTTGCTGAGGTATCATAATATCTTTCGTTCTCGTTACGTCTTGTTTCTTTAAATTATTTATATTATTTCTGCCTCTTTTTTTTTTTTTTTTTTTTCTCTCTCTCAATTTATAATGCTCTCCGATGTACATATACATCTCACATATACGACACGATCAATAATATTTTTTGGTGGCGGTGCTTGTTTTCTATTTAATTTCGCTACTTGTATCTTTTTTAATATATACATACATATATATTACATATATATATATATATATATATATATATATTATAAACGAGTGATCGAGTGTTATCAAAAAAATCGAGCGGAAAAGAAAAAAAAAAAAAAAAAAAAAAAGGAGACAAAGAAAATACGATTAGTTTGTCGAGACAGTATACGTAACGATCTATATACAATGCGTCAGCATCGCGGCATCGTGCTCGATGATCTGACGCGCGTGTGTGTGTGTGTATGAGACGATCGAACGACGTGTAAACACAGGCACGAGAAAAGGAGAAAGATACACTTGTGAAATGCCGCGGCGAACAACACGAAGGCCCGCCGCATTTCACGGCGATCTCACTTACTCGCTCGAATGTTTTTTTAACGCGTGACAAACGCAAATCTATAAAACACACGTAAATCAAGAGATGTTCACCTTGGGTGGGTACGCGTAGGCATCCGCAGCGGGGAGGTGACACCGAACAGCCCATCACGACCGCACAGCTCCATGAGTCAGCAAAGCGCCAGCAGTGTGGGCAGCAGTAACGTCAATCTGCGTCCCCGTACAGCTGCCCCGCGTCGACCGCGACCTGCTTCTATTGCCGGTACCGGTGTTTCGGTCACAGAACGACACAGTGAGCATGCCTTTTTTTGAATACTCTTTTTTTTTTTTTTTCGTTATTTAAAAAAAAGAAAAAGAAAAAGATAAACGGGTAAACGAAGAGTGCCGCCGCTCGAAAGTGCTCGTTTCGCACGGGCGCAACGAGCGTGCGAATCCATTCGACGAGAAGAAATTCTCTTTTAACCATGCTGATACTTGGACCCGAATACTTTGTTTGCCGACACTTTGTCCGCGTCTCTTTTTTCCGTCTCGTTTTTCTATTTTATCTCAACTTGTTGATTTTTATGCTATTTTTGTTAGTGTTTTTTTCTTTTTCTTTTCTTTTTTTTTTTTTTTTTT